GCACGACTGGCTAAAAAAGCTCATTGTTTTATTTCCATTTTTTTAACCATAGAAAATGCTGCATGCTAGATGATTTGCAGTTGTCTTCAGAGAAACAAAAGGGCAGTAAGCTGTCTCTCTTTCAAAAAGTTAAATTACTTTCATATGTGTCAAGGAAACCAATTACTAGCAGCAGGCTCGCTTCAACTCTTTGTATTTACTCCTTAGAGATATTATATTTACCAACTATTCCCCATCTTAACTATATAGAAAACATGAGACCTATGTATATTGAAGGCATTGTAAACTGCAGTCGGTGATTTCTCCAATACGTAACTACTATGTGACTAGTTAGTGAAGCACTTGCACGTCTTCCTGCTTATGTACGTGAGGGTTAGTTGCATGTTGGCTGGGAGTGCTGTCTTCGTTCTCCACCCCACCGTGCGGTGGGGGCTTGCTGGGTTCTCGGCGATGGCTTTCAGTCCAGGAGCATGAGCATGAGCCTGACACACAGGTTGCAGAGCTCTTTTTAAGTTGACGAGTCATTTTGGAATCACTCGAGTGAAACGTGGTAGAAAGGCGTGGAGTTTTATGATGGCCAAAATAAGCATTTTGAGGGCACGGGAAGAAGAGAAAGTCCAGGGCAGAAATCAACCCTGCGACCGCTGGTGTTAGGATGCGCTTTAACAGCAGGTCAGGATCTTTCTAGGTCAAACAACTGCTCTGTGCCTTGTCCCCTTTACCCTTCACCCCCAGCCAACTCTGGCAAATGTACAAGTTGCACATTTCTTTTTTTTTTTATGAATGCTTATGGAGCAAAATAGTTACTGGCGTCAGCAGAAAAACGTGTATGTTTTCTAACTAGTGTTACAGGAAAGCATGTGAAAATAACTTGACCTGTTACACTATGAGTAGCTGGAGAGGGCAACCTTACTTCACTGCATCTGTTTTATTGGGCATAGGCTATTTTACATATAAAATCAATACAGAATACAAAAAATGTGATGACTGACATTTACAGTAAAAAATGTAAAAATGCATTTTGACCTATATTTGCACTAGCAGTTATCTCCGCTGTGTGTGCATCCTCGTGGCTTCCCGCCCCTAGTTAATTTGGAGGTAGCTCTGAGGGAAGGGTCAGTGCATGTGTGCTCTCTGCAGCTCTACATGCAGACATCCATGCAATCAGAGATCCAAGAGCCTTAAAAAAATCCAACATCGGAAAAGGCAGCTGAAGTCAGCTATTTCTTCTAAAGTATCTTGAAAGAGTTGGTCATACATAGTCCATTCCTCTTCTAAAGGGCTCCTTCCTTTTCAGTGATTTCCTCCTGGTAAGTAGGCTCTTCTGGCTTTCTGATTTCTGTATGTTTCTTGTATCTCCATCAGAAAAAGACAAATATTTTCACTCCCATTGTATAGTCCACAAATCATCCTATTTCAATCAGTTCAGCAACTCAGAATTTCTTAAAGAAACTAAGTACTGCAGGATCGAATTTAACACGATTAGGATATCATCCGGGGAAAAAAAAAATTACATCACCACCCCCAAACTGAAAAGTGTGTATTAACAAAAAACACATTTCCACATCATGCTTTCCATATATATGTCTGATTGCAAAAAACGCTACCTTATAAAGTAGATTATAAAGTTAATTAACTGTGGTTCCAAATTTTTATATTTGTTCATATTTTCTTTTTTGTTTAAAGGAAAAAGCATAGATTTATTTTATTTTTTACCCTGGGGAGTATTCAGTTTTGTTGTACGTGACACACGGATTACATTGTCTGCATATTTATTGTTGTGCATATACAGTAAATGGGTTTTGCATGGTAATTAACAGTGCTGCTAAACCTTTTATCGCTGTGAAGATTGAGCTTCAGGTTTTTGGGTCTGACACTTTAAAGTCACAGCAACAGAAATTAAATCTGTAAATTCAATTTTGCAGGGACCAGATGGACTGCCAGTAGCAGGATGTTGGCATAAGGTACAGTAATAATAATAACTGTATATCCTTCTGTAGGTCCCGAGTAATTTTGTTTGCTGCATGGTGATTGTTTGCACTGCTGCGCTTCCTTTAAGCAACAGGTTATAGGCCTGGCAGCCATAACGCCATGCCTTGGGAGAGCAGGATTCCATCTAGCTTCGTGTCTTGTTCCCCACAGCTGTAGACTGGTGCTAGGAACACCGCTCCAAAAACTTGCTAAGCGTGAAAAATCATTCTTGTTAATGTTGTTGGTAGCAATGCCTTTTTTTTTCAGGCTTGGTCAGGCTAGGCTTCTGTTATGGCCCAGGCAGTTTAGGAACCACTCGTGTGACGTAGGCCATACCCTCTAGCGGATTTTACAATGGGTTACCTCTTTGTTGCAGAGTTACAAAACGTTTATTTCCGAACAAAGACTTTTCTGCCATTGTAATTATAATCCACAACCACTACGCTGCTTTGGTGCTCAAATCAGTAAATGAGGGAGCACATGGGTCAGGTAATTCATACTGTCTCACACCCCCAGAACACCCGGGGTTGTAAATGCTAAATGAGGAGAGACGCGTCCCCCCGTAGGATGAGCATTTGGTCCAGACTTGTAGGGGGATGCTGTAACCTCCTTCAACAAGGGTACGACACTGAAGCTGAGTGGAATTACTAAGGCAGTTTCAAACGTGTGGTATGTGGACACAGTCTGAGTTAATAGCAAGCATGTTACTAACTGGTTGCAAACCCTCGGTTAGAATGTGAGCATGCCCTTAGCATATAAAAGTTTTTAATTCTGTGGTAAGTCGTTTGGATGTACTGTTAAAATTAAAAGACATCTGAATGCCAATCCTTATAATATTAACAATAAGATTAGTAAGTATAATGAATGGAGCATTTCTCTTTGATTAAAATGTTTGTCTGTGTGTTCTTTTTCAGTGATCTCTAAGCATGAAGCACAATATGTAAATAATGTGATATATTTTGATCTTTTTAATTTTTGTATAAAAAAAGGAAAAAAAACTTTCGACAGTAATAATATATTGACCTTTTTTTATACTGGATTCTGTCATTTATGGACTTGGAAAATATTGTAAAGCTCCCAAACCCATAAGATACGCATGATAACATCTGGATTTGATAAAGGTACCAATGACAGTAGCTGGGAATGAACAGTATTCGCTGCTAATGTTGCTGTGTGAACTAACAGTCCTGAGAACAGTGTGTTGCCTAGTGTGCCGTATCGCATGAAGAAGGGAGAAATCCCTATCCTAATTTGGCTCTCAATTCTGTATTTGCATTGCACATGCACATTAAAAGGGTGAAAAAAACTGGCTGAAAACAAAGAAAAGAAGGATGCAGCCCTAGGAATGAAAGAAGCTGCTGCACACCATCAGGTCAAACGAGAAGGACTTGCAACTTGCAGAGGAAACAAAGCCAAGCTCCATTCATTGCTACCTGCTGTTGGTATGATGGGCACAGCAATTCTTTGGCTAAAAAGAACAACCTTGACTACCTGTGGTTATTTCCACTACTATCGACAAAAGCTTTTTTTTCTCAAGAGGAAGCAGCTCTGGGTCTGTGGCTGAAGATGTGCAAGCGCTTTGTTACTGTGGAACCAGAATTCCCCAAGAAACCTCCACTGCAGATTTTCAAAACAGAAAAACCTGGGAATACTCTCAGTGTAGAGAGTTGCACAACAGGGAGGACTCTGCTGAGGTCTTTTCTTAAACAACACAGCACAGAATGTTGCTGTTGGGGTTCCCAAAACTTGGGAGTTTGGAGTATTTAATTGTCTTGGTTTGTAGGGTTCATTTGCATTTTATTTTTCTTGGTTTACGTGGATTTAATTGTAAACTCTGTGACTCTGCACACTCATCTCGTCCTCTTTCTCCTCTCCCCTTTTTCGGTCTCTTTCTTTAAATTATCTCATCTCAGGCACATCCCGTGCAGAGCAGGGTAACGAATAAAAGGAGGATTATGATTTTGATATCTGCATATGGTATTAAGTGAGATCAATTAAAAATCTGCAACTACTCCACCGTTCACATTTTTAAAGATCTTGAAAAAAATAGAGATTGTGCAGTAACAAGCCATAAAAAATTATTTCGGGGGGAAGAAAACGGCTTACAGCCAAGTCTGTTCAGCTTACAATGAAGATCAAGAGGCAATCAGATTCCTTTATAGGGAGGAGATGCTTTATATTAACAAGTTCTTAAACTGAACAGAGAAAGATGTACAAATATCCATCCAATGGGTGGAAGCTGAAGCTACACAAAATCAAATAAAGTAAGCCACGGATTTTTAATGGTGAGACTGGTTAATCCTAACCAGACCAGTGACGTAATCCCCATCACTTTAACACCTTTTAGATTTAACAGATCATTTCTGGAGGAAATACTTTAGCCCAACACAAGTTGCTAGGCTCTGTGTAGAAGTCTTAGGTGAAATTAAGAGCCTGACCACAATATCAAACCAGATGATGTAAGGGCTCTTTGTGGCCTTGATCTTAGAGAATAGAGAAGGGAGTCATTTTTGGTGTATTGAGTAGATCTGACCCCTCTGTTAGATCCTTGTTCCACTGCATTTGTTGTGGCAGCTACTGCCAGAGAGGACTTGAGAGAGGGATGCGACCACCCGGGGCAATCTGCCCTGTACAAGCTGACCTAGCGCTACAGTAGGTCTTGCTCCGATATTCTGAAGCATAGTAGGAACATGCTCAGTGCTCCACACAGGCAGGGTGACGCGTGACTGATGTCTGAGAGTTCTTATCTGTGACTGGGTCCTAGTTGTCCTTGAGCTTATCCTTTTAGTCAGCTGGGAGCATTTGTGATCTGCTGGTAAATGCTGAAATGGCCATCTAGCTTGGTAGATGTGGACACAAAAGACACATGGTTTGTTACTGTCTTTGTTAGCTGCTTAGGATCTATACCTACACATTGCTTGCTTTGCAGCTAGACTTTGCATCTTTACCAGTTGCTGACCATTTTCTTGGTCACCGTATAGATTAAATCCATATAAATTCAGATCAACTAACAAATCAAGAAACAAGAATTATGTAACTCAAAACAGCAATGAAAATGCATTTTATTTACTTCCATTTCATGTTGTTAGCTATCACTTTTGGTGTAGGGGTTTTTAAAGGCATCGGGAGCAGTTGAACGAGCTCCCACTGGCTTTTAGTGCTTTTGAAAACCCCCTTTACTGTCCCAAATTAAAGCTAAAAATCTTCTTCTGTGGAAGGCTGAAGGCAAATCTCTCATTGACGTCACCGGGAAGAAGATCTGTAATTGTTCCCTTAATGTACAGTTGCTCTTCCCATCTCCCCCAGTCATCTCCAAACTAAAAGCAATTCACTACTCCAAACCACACTGTGGGCTTCTACACTCAAAATCCTGCATGTATCCTGTTCATGGAACCTCTGCGGATATCAATGAGAGTTCAGTCCCCAGAATGACTGCAGAAAGCACAAGAATCTGGAAGTGTCCACAAACAATCTACAATGCAGATAGAAAAGTCTTGTTTTACATACGCTGGCAAAAACTAAACAGCTTTCTATCTAGCTCCTACTTGAAGAAGTTTGATATCACTGAAGCTACAAGACAAGCTAACCTCCAAAGCTTATGAAATTATATTAAAATTTATATTTTCTCTGAGGAAATACCCCGAAGTCCTATTATCTTCAGGTAAACAAGTCAGTATTCCGTCTTCAACTTGTGGAATATCCAGTGCTTGTAGGCATCAACTGTGACCACTGCCAGGCCTGCAAAACATTGATACAGAATACCAGAATAGTGCTTTACCTATTGCTCTAATCGCTCTGCATGGCAGCCTTCCCCCTCCCAACAGAGCCTCTGTTGCCACAGAACCCAAGACATTTGCTCGTAACGGAGGAAGAGAGCTCATTTGGAGTTGACTAAACCTCTTAACCAGGGTTGTTCTTCCCCGTCCCCAAGGCACAGCCTGACTGCTCACGGCATTTCCATGCCAGTCAAGGAGGAAGGCCAGAATCATCTTCCTAGCACAGGAGTGCAGCTGGTATCCACACCCATCAGCGCTACCACCTCAGCTGCCAAACCTTTTAGTGATCATCTTTGAAAATTCCCAGGCAAATGCCCTCTCTGCACAGGTTTATTCTGCATCCTGAATATGGTGAGTCCAGCATATAGAAAGGAGATCCATCTACGCACCTGCAGCAAGTCTGGTACGTTCAGGACATCTGATTTACTGCACACAAACAGATCAGCAGCCTGTGTGCAGTAGCTTCTCTGGACTTCTGCCGCTCTCATTTCCATTAGAAATGCTGGCAGGTATGGATCCTGCTGTATACGGCACCTATTGCCACTTCGGCTATGAGGAACTAACCAGTAGATCTCCAAGGATCTGCTGGTGGTACATCTACTCTACCAGCCCCTTCTGTCACCAACGCAGCTGAGACCTGTGGAAAACAGAGCTCCCAGGAACAGAGCGAGGTACAGATTCCTGGGCACGGCTGCTGCGGGGGGTTGCAGTTGTGATCTGCACCTGAAGTCCTTCCCAGTCCTCCACTGAGATCAGTGTGTTTGGCCTTTATATTCTGAACTCAGTGTTCTTTATTGATCCTATCATGCAGATCGACAGACTGTAACAGAGGAACTGTTGATTTATCAATTGCACAGCGTCTAAGAGAAAATCTGTTTAGGCTTCCATGTGCTTTCCACACACATATATTTAGAAGAGTAGGTTATTAAATACTAAATTGTTTCAGAGCAGTCATGATCTTATCGGGAAGAGTTAAAAAAAAAGATGTGCTTTGCTCAGCAAATTCATGCCAGATCAGTTGATTATTTTCTCTTTCCATATGAAAATGTTTATGTGGGTCTTTTTGAATACTTGGGAGTTTGCAAATAGCTTATGAAGATAAATTTACTTTTAGGTAGTACTGGCAGTCTCGGTCAAAGCTCAGTAATTATCTCAGCCTCTCACAAAGCCTAGCGCATTTTTTCCCCCTAGGAAGCCGCTTTCTTTTTTTCTGGTTTGAAAGAATGTAAGATTGTTTTACAGGAATTCAGAAATGCAGCTAAATGTTACCACTAGATGTCAGTAGCAATAAAGATGATTGACGGGCAGGCTGCTAATGCTTATGAAATGTAGGTCAATCTGAGACTGAGCAACTGATTTCTCTTGATCACTAAAACATTTAGTATGTTAGCTTCATGGATTCATCAACAGACGCTCTGGATAACACACTTAGGTTACTGATCTTGGGGAAATCTGAAGCCCAGTCAAATTTATGTTTTGTTTTCTAGTTTACAAAACAAAATCCCTTAGTCTCATTTAACTGACCATGAAAGCATGGTGATTTCCATTGTCAAGATAACCATGTCTGCCTGCTGCCCAGGAGCAGAGGACAAGCAGCCTTCTTTAAGCCTTGTTCTATTTAAAATGGTAGCTAACAACCATCTTTCCAGTTATTACCAACATCCTCTCTCTAGCATGCTGTAGCCTAATCGATTTTGGAAGCAAAGTTCCCAAAGTGAGTCCTAAGGGCACAAGACCTCATTTGAAACCCCCAAGAAATTTTTCAGCCACAGAGCTGCTGTGGCAAGGTAGTCCTGCCCGCAGAAATGCATTACGTGACTAATGCTAGCGCTGCTGCTCGCCGTGGTTGTGGTGGTCCTGGCCCCCATGCTCCAGGAGCAGGGATGCTGCAGCCGACTGTAAGCATGGGGAGCGCGCTCCCTAAAGCTTCTGGGGGGAAAGGATGGGGGGGGGGGGGGGGAGGGTGCTGATAAGCGTGCTGGCAGCTCAAGAGGCCCCTTGCCAGATCGTGAACCCGATGATTTGGCCTGTACTGATGGGGGCAGGTGAAATTAATTAGAGTTTTGCAGCTGAACTGTGGGCTTGGCCAGTGAATTCAGTAATACTTCTCTGGGTTGTGAAACAGGTGGCAGAGAAAACCCAGTCTGACTCCAAACTGAAACTGTTCCCAAGCCGTAATGCACTGGGATTTTAGTTGTTTAAAAAAAAAAAAAGAAAAATCAAGATATTGCCACATGCTTTCTTTTATTCTGATAGAGAGAGTCGCCTTTCTTGTATACACTGCTTCTAACACTTGCTGTATATATAATGGTGATGAATCTATTTCTGTATGGATTCTTCTCCTGTGTATTTAAAAATAAGAATGTTTCTTCTAATGATAAGAGACTTCCTGATGCGTTTTCTTTTTAGGAAACCAACAGATGAAATATTTAGGTGAGCTTTTGTCTTCTGTAATTACATAAATTCAGCATTTGAAATCTTTAAGCAAACCAGCAAAACACATGTGAGGTTTCAGCAGTTCAAGACATCCTGTGCAACAATGAACAGTAATCCCTGGAGAATGACACAGGTCACTACCTGCGGTGTTGAGACTGTTACAGTAACCATAGTAGTTGTAGTAACTACCCAGGAAGCCTGTTTGGGGTGACCAAGGTTTTCCTGCCAGAAAGCCCATGTTCTAGTTTGGCTGCTTTCTTCTCCTCCTCGGTGCCCCATTTCAACTGCTGTGACTGAGCACAACTGCGTTGGCTGGAATAGTGCTGAACTCGATGACACCAGCAAAGATTTCAGTCTGCAGTGTTTACTATTTCGCCAGCCCACAGCTCAGAATGAATCTCTTGAATTTTTATACGCAGCACATGGTTTTGCAATCAGCCAAACATAGCGGACTCTTGGGCCAGAATGAAAGAACTCACCAATTTTTAATGCATAGCTTACTTAAAATATTAAGGTGCTAGAAATTTCCAGCTTTATCGTAATGGTAAATAACCATCCTTGGTCAATATAACGGTGCCTTATTAGCCTGTAAATTTAGTATGTATTATAAAGCAGCATTAGAGCTTAGGTTTCCTGGTCACTGAATACTGATTTAATGCTGCCCTCTAGAGGAGACCTTATTTCAATAGAGAGAAACAAATTTTATGCTAGGACAAATTTTGTGGTGTGACACTGTCCCTTAATTGACAGCACACATAGGGATGGGCACACCTTTTGCCTAACTATATAGTTTGAATAGATATTTATAAAATAGGAGCACACAGATAGAAACTTTAATCTGTTTTCCAAATCTGATATTTCTTTCTTGGGAAATACCATCATATTCTCACTTTTTTTGTTTTTCTTTTAGTCCCATGGTTGCCCAGACAATTTAAACTGCTATACAAACAAAATCTATCTGTAGTAGGTTACTTGTCAAGTTTCCATTTTTAAATTTTAGAGCAAGGAAGCTTTGAATTATTTTCTGTAAAGACAACAGACTTCTATTGAAGATATGTAAAAATATTAGTAACAACAAATGGTAAAAATGTAAATGTTCCCAAACCAGTTATCCTGGCCAAATGCTGTAGCTATCTGGCTGCATTCAGATCCGTGAGTGTGGCTCCAACTCGCACTAGCATAGCGAGGAGCGTCCTCAGGAGGTGTCCAAGGGTGAAGCACAACCCCGGTACTGCTTTACTGCATTTGAAGCTCCTAAATTTTACCTGTTAATATCTGCTGACATGCTCAGTAGCGCAGCCAGCCTTCCAGTTGTTTAACCAGGAAGATTTTCAAATGAGAGGTGAAGAATTTGGATAGACTTCAAGAGGCCCAAGACACTTTAGCTTGCCAAGGCAGTCACTGTGGCATACACTGACCTTGGCAACCTTACAGGACAGCATGTATGTAAGAATATTTCTTGGACGCTTTTGCAACAGTGATTTTTTTTTTTTTTTTAAAACATAAAAGGGAAGAATACATCTGGTCACTCTAGTTAGTCCAGTCTCACTGTCATTTACTGGAGTCACCTGCCTTTTAATTGTGTCTCTGGCACTGCAGCGAACCTGACCATAAGTAGTACAGTTTGAAATACTTCACAGCTCCACTTTGGGGAATCTATTGCAGACTGAAGCAAACCAGTGAGTAAAAAATCAATTTCCTAAACTTTGCTTTCCTTGATTATCATTTACATTTGTAAGCTAAAAATTACTTCTAGTATTTTCACATCCCCAGGTGAACTACTGCAACTTTCCCATATGCTTGTGTACCATGAGATGGCACAACAAAAGGGATGTCTAACTATTGTGTAATCTGCAGCTAAACTAAGTGCCGAAAACCTGTCACTTAGAAATGAATGGAAGAAGGACTTAATAGATTGTATGACTCTCTAACACTGTAGAGAGCCTGGGGAAAAACCACAGGAAAGCTGGGAAACATGAGTTTTCAATGCATAAGAAGTGGCATTATTGACAACAGAGTGGGATAAGAAATACGTTATTAACATTAGTGGATTTTCAGTGTCTTAGGACAACAATCAGGCCCTGTTTGCTAAGTTCTGGCAGAAGTTGCCTCATAGTTGCGCAGTTTTGTGGAACAGTCAGCTCACTTGTGTGTCTGCGTGTGGTTTCTTATAGAACGTAGGCATTAATGAACAGGAACTTAAAATGGAGACATCTCAAGTATCTGTAAATGACACCAATACCACTTGCTGCTTTTTTATATGCTTGTTAAACACTGCGTTGTATGCGTAATTCTGAAAAATGCATTTTACACTATGTTATTAAGTATAGGTGGGTGCATATCAAACTTGCATTTCTGCAATTACATTAAAAGAATAGGACCTGGTTTGGCAAAGCAAAAGCACCCATTTACACACTGAATTTCCAAATTAAGCAGAAGAGGTAGTAAATTGCCATCAGCTAGAATGAGAGTTGGGGTCCTGTTGTGTTTGCTGCTTAGTTTCATAGATGGAGTGCTGTTTTCTAG